TAATTCATAGTTCTTTCTTAGTTTCATGTATGCATTTTAGTTATTATCATATTATAAATCATACTAAGTTCGCTTTCGATCTAAAGATTGATTAGTTAAGGGCAGATTCAAATTTCTTTTATTTATATAAAACCAAAATTCGTACACGGTTGGAGTCTTAAATTGGCACTATTTGTCTATAACCGTCTCGCTCTCCCAACACAACCGTTACAATATATAAAGAAGGAGTTTATTAATAAAGGCATATAGTGCATCTGAAGAGCGTAACTTGAATATTTTATGCACAATATTATAACCAGTATTGCATTTTTTTATAAAACACGCTCTATATATTATGTCATCCTTATTCTTTTTTAATATAAATTATGCAACATATACGAGTTAAAAGGGTTTTAAAAAGCATGAATAGTGAGTGATCACCATGCTATATAATATTACAAGGTAAGCCAAATTACTATTTCTTCGAAAATAATAAAAAATTTCCAATCAGAAAACAAAATTTTAATTATTGAAATCTTTGAAATGTCAGCGAATTTAAAATTAATCATCATGCAAACAAATAGATTAGTTTTAAACAGTATTTTATAATACTATAAATGTTCACTTATTGGATGAAATTTTGATCACATTTAGAAACACTTAATTGGAAAATCATCACCTGATCTTGATGATTCTTATATTCAAAAAAGTTATGAATGAAAGAGATATCATAAGTAATAACAGTAATGCTGTATACCCGAGAGATGGTTATTTTTTGTCCATTTAATATAGTAAAACCTCTATAAATGCACATTCTAGGAACGGAACTTTAATAACGCGCACTTAGAGAACAATAAGGAAAAGTGCATATATATTTGAGCCAAAATTGAGTATGCATTTAGAGTGTATGCACTTTACTGTATTTAACACAAATTCTGGTAAAATCTCTTGTGGTGTCAATATTTTTCTAAACTTACACTTTACTTCATAACAAGTTATTGTCAATAAATATCAACAAAAAAAACTTTATCACAGTAGTACATGGCACTTGCAATAGTTAAAAAATTACGACTTAATTTACGATGCATATGTGAAATTCTTAATTCTACAGCACGAGATAGACCACTTTTTTTATTACTAAATCAAATTTATTACAACTTGCTGGGCTCTTTTTTTTAAAAAAATATGTAAGAATATTTTTTAAGCTATACCAATTTCTTCGACATTTAAGGTTAACCCAATTTGGGTTAAGTTTAGAAGTAGCATTGGTTAGGATAAAAATCGAAGAAATAACTGTCGGTGAAACGGATGAATCCGAAGTGAAAGAATGCAATCTCATAAATTCAATCGTATATATTAATAATTTTAAAAAAAAACTTGCACTTAAATAATTTACAGTATCTCATTATATCACAAGCGATGAAACGTCATCTGACGCAAGATGTATTTCTAGTCAAACCTGCTCTAACATATTACAATATTACAGTATATATCTACACCTACTTAACCCTCTAATGTTAGATAAAGGTTTACTTGCTATTGTTTTTGAAACCACTAAATTACTATTAAATATCCCTTCATCCATCTTTGTGCATCCATTTAAGCTCGTGTTTCCTTCGTGTTTCCTTCCATAGACTTTTCGGTGATACTGTCAAGAATAAATGTATATATAGGACAATTTTATGTTCATTTGCAATTTTTTTTAAACCTACTTGAGTTTTTCTTAAGAAATACAATTATTATTTAGACACATTTTAATACTGAATTTTTTCTGTGCATCTTATCCCATATGTTCATGTTTTATTTTTTATGTTAACTCCATACACACTGCTATAAAAAAACATGAAATCTCGCTCTTTCTTATCATTCTATAAGTTCATACCGTTTTTATTATATACCTTTTTCATATTAATATTGAGAAAAGAGGTATTAGGTGACGATTCGTGCGTATCACCACCGTCTAAACCAAATAAACTTTTTGGATATTATCATGCTTATAGGCCTAATAGTAAACTGGGAAAAGATTTTAATATCAGCTCATCAATCGATTACATATACTATGTTTGTATGCGAAACTGATGCTTTTAATCTATTTAATTACAATCGGTTATGTTTAATAAAGCTACCTTAATTCATATTTAGCATATGGCCCAAATGACCTTGTTAATAATAATAATGATGGTGGTGGTCCAAGTGCACTTTTTAGCGCATCTAAATTTAACGATCTGTTAAATTATAAAAATAGTCATCCACAACTAAAGGTAATAGATAGTATTTATACATTAAAAAGATTTATTATTTGTAATAACTAAATTACTATGTTGTAGATAGTTCTATCAGTCCTGTTACCAACCGATGGGGATAATTTAACTATGTTCTTCAATATTCAGCCACAGAATAGTCAGCAAGATAATCCGAATTCGAATTCGAGTTCGAATTTGTTTAATTCGAATAGCCAAGCAAATATGAAGTTCGTTAATGACTTAATTAATGTTGTTACTAACAATGGCTTTGATGGAGTAAGATTAAATGATTTTATTTTTAGATTATTATTCATTAAATATTTAATTAGTTAACTACTTTCTACTTAATTTATAGATTGACATTGATTATCCAGTGAAGTTTCAATGCAATCCTTTCATAGGATCCAATTTTTCAGTTTTCATAAATAGCATAGCATCACGATTAACACTTCAAACAGGTAGTAATAATAAGATGTTAACGATTACGGCAGGCCAATATCCTATAAATATGAGCTTCAATAACATTAGTTTTGTAAATATTAAGGTAAGAATTAACTTCCTTTTTTTTTTTTTACATAACAAGTATAAATATTTATTTATTTATAAAATTTTAGGCATTTGGTCTTAATATAGATACCGGAAACATCAGTGCTGGAATAGAACAAATTAAGACAATCTGGAATAATTGGAATTCTGCTGGTTTAGATGATTCAAAATTTGTTTTAGCTGTTGAATTTGGTGGCATAGCCGAAATTGTTTCTTCTAGCAATATTAGGTCAGATATTGATAATCAACAACTTCACTTAGTAAATGGCTCAAGTTCAGATTTTAAATACCCTTTTCCTAATGAACCGATTCAAGATCAATGTTACTCTGCACCATATGTATATTGGTCATGGACAAATTTAAGTGGTTTATTATCACAATCATCATCATGTCCTACAAATCTAACTCCATTGTCACCACGGTTTAGCTCTCTCTACAAGCAATTCGAATCAGCCATATCTTTACCAAAAATACAATTCTTCAAATTACTATTACGTCGTTTTTTATGAAGATTATATGCCAAAACCGACTTTGTAAATAGTAATGGTCTAGCAGGGATTGCGATTGCCGATATCACCAAAGATTCGAACGATTTACGATTGACAAACTTCATTTCGGGAATTCTACCACCTAGTCTGTCTAATGGAGTACCTTTGTCTACATTTGGATCTACGCCATCTCAGCCATCGTCAAATAATACAGGTGCAATAGTGGGCGGTGTAATAGGCTCCTTTATTTTTGTTAGCGTAATAGCGGTAGCCGGCTTTATGTTGTATCGAAAACACAGAGCAAAAATGTCTGATCCACTCATAGATACAAATAATCAGACTTGCTCCGATACAAATCGTCAGGATTACTCTGATATAAAGCACCAAGTTCGTCCAGATACACATAATCGGATTTACTCAGATACAAATCATCAAACTTTCTAATTAATAGTATAGGAATGCGAGAAGATTTACTGATTTAATACTATTGCCAATGTGAGATCGGCTATATATGAAACTAACTTTCTCTATAATTAATGTTTTTAATAACGAACTGTAAATTAATAAATTTTAAACTTTATACTAATTCAGTATATTCGGTACAGAAAGTGTAGGGAACTGTAATCTTATATCACGGGCTTTTTTTTCCAGAACCATAGGTCATTATAAGGCGAATTCAATAAAAATTGATGATCGTTGAGATCAATGTTCAAAACACTTGTAGTGTCATACTGTTTATATTTTTTTCTGTACTGAATATTATAGTCTTGCAGGAAATTTAAAAATTCCTCACGTGCATGAACCAGTATTTTCATGTCCGCTCTGTGATTGGTGAGATCAGTTATCCACTGATGCACGATCATGTAGTCTTATTTTTTTTCGATCAAATTTTTTGCAAAAAGTGTTAACGATAATGGAAAGCTATAAAATTCCTGGACTTCCAAAAATTATACCTGTAATAAAACACATTTTAAAAAAACCTAAAATCGGTAGCATAAAATACAATCGTTGGACACCTCAAGAAATTACTACACTTTTAACAGCATATAAAGAGTATGGTAAAAATTGGAATATAATTTCTCAACAATGTCTTCCCACTCGACCACCCTCCACTATAAGACGAAAATACATACATTTAGAAAAAATTAAAGCAAGACCAACATCTGAACACAATACATGGACAACAGAGGATGATGAAACATTAAGAATGGCTACACATAAATATGGTGTAGGAAAATGGAGTGAAATTCGAAAGAAATTTTTTTCTGATAGGTCATCAGCACAAGTTCAAGAAAGATGGAAAGTTTTATCGAAAACCAAATTTGGAAGATGGAGTCCTGAAGAAGATAAGAGATTACAAGAACTAGCTAAACAATATAAAGAAGATTATCGAGTAATTTCTGAGATATTAAAACGACCAGTTCATTCGATTTATGTTCGGTACAAACGTTTACAAACTCCAAAATGGACAATTGAAGAATTGGATAAATTACGTGATTTATTAAAAGAATATGGCAAAGATTGGGAGAGAATTGAACAAATGATGCCAGGAAGAAATGGGTGGGAAATTAAAAAAGTGGCGGATACATTAGTTTGTGTTAATCCTTTTATTAATAAACGGATGTGGAGTAAGACGGAAAAAGAATTGATTAAGAAAGGCGTGGAAATGCATGGAAATAATTGGGTTAGGGTTAGTCAGGTTGTAGGAACTAGATCACATAGACAATGTCAAAGATATTGGCAGATAGAGCAAGGAAAAGAGAAAACTGGAAAAATGACCAATGACAATTAGTGATTCAATTTTAAAATTTGATAACGTCCTTACTCAAATTATTTAAAATAATGTTTTCTTTTGATACGTACTCGTAAAAAATATTTATTTAAGGTAATTACTCAAATTGTGTACGTACAATATTTCTTTTGACATTCATAATAAACATGTAATAAGGTAATAATTTTGCAATCAAGGGTTTTCGTGTAACTTTCTAGTTAACCTTCTGTTATGCGTAATAAAAGATTCATTAACAAGATCAAAAAAGTTCAACCAATATTCAATAGCCTAAAGCAAAGATTTTCTTATAATTGATATCTTATTTCATCTTTGCTAACTCTGTAATTTACAAATCCCTGTGAATGAATTTTGACGTACAAAAAAAATTATTCAATTATTGATTTTCTATGAATGAACCTTTTAAGTTCTATTTAATAATTTATTATTAAATTGTCATCTACTTGTCTATCGGTTCAATTCAATTAAGGGATCTGCAAGTTGCTAACGCTTGTACTTTATCTTAAAATATACTTCGAAGCATCTTACTTTAAAGTGTATAGCGTGTTGAGAGTATTGGTGTAAACTAAATATTTGATTTGTCGAAATAACATTAGCACTAACGCTAATTCTTACCAATACCATAAAGCTTATCATTGCAATAATGATAAATTTTATTTGTGACTCACACTATAGCAATAAATTTACGTGAGTCAATATCGAAGACTATGAATTGAATGAAAGATTTTCTTTTATTTGGTTTAAGCTGAAAATTTACGCTTTGGATTCTCGTAACATAATCTACTATTTTCTCCAATCACATGTAATTTATTCTAAAAACTGATTAATGTACTGAATATTTACAAAGACTGGCATAGATCACTGCTTTTTGTTCGGCTACTTCTGCATAATCTGCTAAGCAAGTACTTGCTAAATATATGCTAAGTATTTAGTAAATACTTATTAGACCTAAGGTATATTGGGGTGTACTTACAAGTACTTATTTAAAGTACTTATAAAATATATATTCAAAACTTAAGTATTTAATAAATATAAAATTTAATATTAATTAAGCATTTAAAATTTAAAATACTTTAATAATGTCAATTATAAATATTTATTTAGCATTGCTATTTAGCAAATCTAAGGTTGTGTTTGGTTCAATTTCTGATGCCAGTATAATGTTTCACTTCACTCTGTCAATCTTCAAGGCTTTGTCCTTTTGAGTATTTTCCGATAAATATACACTATTCAAATTTTAGTTCTCAAATCGTCAAATCCTAGGGGATCTATAAGTCAGATCAGTTTTCCATTGTTGAGACAATAGGGATGTTAAATGGTCCACGAGGAACTAGTTCGGACCGGGTCTGGACCGGGACTTTTTAGGGACTAGTAGGACTAGTTCAAATCTCACATGATATGAATAAAGTGTCCTTTTTGACAC